ATGTGTTTTAGTTGAATTTTTCTTTCACTATTTTTCTATTGTATAATAGTTATACTATTGTAGCATTGGACTACAATTGTTTAAGTTATTTATGAACTAAGAATTCTAAAACTACTAGAATTGTGTTGTGAATCCATATCTTAATACAGGTAAAAAATCAAAACCTCTTGACAAAGTCATGGCATTCTTTATTCTACAAATACTACCTATATTTGTTTTCAAACACTGTTTAATTATGCTACAATTTTTATTTGTTTTAGTCCAATGTTTTATCAAAAGGTAGTGAAAAGACAATCTTTGAAAATCTCCCTTTGGTTGACATTCATTCTGGAAATGAGTGTCATCTCCCTAAAATGAAAAAATTTTAATGAAACCTTTGAAGTTTGTCTGAAAGTGATACAACCATGAATCTGGTTTTATATTTATTTTCTTTCCTTCACCTCTCCTTAATGTGGCTACAAAACATTTTGCATGACAATCTTTCATTGAAGTTTTCTCTATGCTTTAGTATAAAATTTATCTTATTGATCCTAAATGATATGAAAAGAAATATTTTACTACTTCAGTCATCTTTTTTTTTCTTTGTTAAGTAGTCCTCTGCACCATGTGATGCTCATTATGCCACTCAGCTTTGAATTAAACAGACTGTTGAATGGAAATTTTCACTCTCAAATATAAGATGTTAATTAATATGTAAGAAAAGGACAATAAAATCTTCTTACATCAGGTTTTCAAGTGACAATGATTAACACGACTCACTCCCATAAACTATTTCTTGATGTACTTACAGAAAAGGTTACAGTTGTACAGTACTAAATCCAGTTGCTAAATGACATTCAGGCCATTTATGTATCATCTACTGTCAAGAAGTTTACGCAACAAAGAGGAGATATTTACTCAGTGTGCTCTACTCAAAAAATATTCTTATTTTTATCTTATACTCAATTTATGATAGGATTGCAGTAATAAAATAAGGTATTTCTATTTTGAGTTTCTCTTGTCTGAGTAAATCTAAAGACTTGAACAAATTTGTAACAGTAGTCTAAGTTATACAAAGGTCAGATGTTCCATAATCTTTTCACAGTGCATTTGCTAGACATATATATGTTTCCTTTACTAAATTTAATAACTACATTGGAACTAAAATACATTTCATTACTTTACAAAATAATAATTTTCATGAATTCACTATGATTATTTAAAAACAATTAGTGTTTGGATTCCTTAGTTTTTTATAACTGTATTCTAGAGTTGTTTAACTCTAAGCCCCCTTTTAAAATAGGATTAAGCCTGAAAAAAGAAATATGCATCTCTATTTGTTAATTTATTAAAATATACTACTTCAAAATGAAGATTCCTATAAAATTATTTGTTTCACAAAATTATCATAAATCTTGATTTCTCTATTTTGAAGTGGTTCAACATCTGTGCTTAGTATAACAATAGCAATATTATCTATACTTATTGAATAAAACATGCATTAACTTTAAATTAATTTCTATTCTCCAGGATGTTAAATGTAAAATGAGAAATAAATTGATGTTGAATTAAATGGATATCAATATAAAATAATCATACTATCTTATGAGCATTAATTTTGACTTTTTAACACAATGATTTAATCGTCTCAATTATTTTAAGTGGAACCACTTGTTTCATCAATCTCTGTAATCTTCTGTTAGGGAAGTCTATTTCTGATGACCATAAATCTCTCCTCAAATAAAAGTAGCTCTGTCCCCACTAGAATTTTCTCTACAGAGCTAAATTTCTACATCAGAGAACCTCTTTGGTGTTTTTTTTTTTTTTTGCTTGTTTTATTTTTTTCCTAGCTAATGCCTGTATGTTGGGCTCCCACTTGAATTAAAAGTTTAGTGTGATTTAATTTGAATACATGGATAGTTACTGAGAAGCACTGTGAAAGATAGCTCAAGATTGACATCCTGACAAAAAAATACCTAATTTGGCAAAATTTATGACTGTAATATTCTCTATTATGAGGAAACTATGTATACCCTTGGTTCATATGTACAAGAGTGTGTATAAACATGTATTCTTTTTCTCTAGCCAGTATATTATAATGGGTTGTGTGTCCTGTATTCACATGGTAGCCTGTATTATGGTTTTAACAAAGAAAACAAACTTTTATTAGATTAAATGAGAATCTAGAGTAAGTCAAGCTGCAAAAAATGGAAAATCCATGAGGAAAGAAATCCATGAATATGAAACGTCAAACCTGAGAGTCATAATTACTCCTAACATTCAGGTGATTTAAGAAACTTTAGTGAATGAGAGAGCAATATGTTCAAAATATATTGCAAGAAAAATAATTAAATTAAAATTAAATGAAAAAAGGATCTTGAGTGTATACAAATTTGTTAGATCTCTAATATATCACTGCTTCATATTACTCATTACATAGTACTTTTAACAATTTGTTTGATTATTTAAAAATGACTCTTGATATGACCATCTCTTATAGTGCTATAAGAGCAAATACCACTTGGTAAAGTTCATTACTAGCTGAGAGGACATTCAAATGGTCAAGGAAAGGGAGTGAGAAGCAAGTAGTGAGTCCTCATAGGGTACCTGATGTGGCAGAGCTCAGGATGACAATGACTGTTTTGTGTGCATATCCAAAATTAGCTGACATAGAGGTATGAATGTGCTCTAGCAATTCTGTTACTTAGTTTTAATTTTTCACAAAAGATATTTTGGTCATGTTTTCTTTTCTTCCAAATCCTCTCCTGTCTACCTCACCATCAAATGGGTTCATGTTCTCTTTTCTGTCTGTCTCTGCCCCCCCCTCAAAAATAGATCTCTAAACAGTACACAAATGAATGCAAAACAAAAAAGTAAAATGCCAATAAATTTAAACTCAAAACAAATAGACAAAATCAAATGCTGAGCCTGGAGGGTAATGGGGTGGGGGATAAATCCATTTTCTCTTGGCCAACTTTTCCTGGTCAAGGGCTTTCGCTGGAGTGTGGCTAATAAACTCAGTGACACTCATTTAGAGAAAACTGATTTACTCTTTGCTAACAGGGATCAACATGTTTTCATGTATGTGTCAGACATCTTAATGTTCTAGAAACATCTACTCAGAGCTTTCCCCCAATTTTATTAGATTATTTGTATTCTTAATATTGAGTTGTTGAGTTTCACATATATTCATGACAGACTTTCACAATTTTAAAGTCAAAGCTGTTGGTCAACTTTTCATTGTTTTATCTAATCTCAGTGAAAACATGTTGAAAACACTTGATTCCCTGAGTGAAATTGTAGACTGCAGCAGCTCCCTTCTTTAGGCTATCTTGCATATCATTTTATACCCTCAGGGATGTGATTAGAATTCTCATTCTTTTGGAGGAAGAAGTGAGGTCACTGTTTTCCCAAGAAATGTTGGTTAGTTCAGTACCATTGGTGCTACCCTTTTAGATTATTGCTTAATCAGTTTGTTCAGTCAAAAATGGTAAAAACCCAGATGACTCACTTCCCCCCTTATTTGTATTAGTGTATTCATGGAATGCACTAATTTTATTTTCTAGTTTAAATAATAGGATAATTAATTGGGGATGCTTGGGTTATTATTTTTACAGAAGCATGTATATCCCATTCGACAAGTAACAGTTTTCTTCATGTAGTCTATGAAAACCACTTGAATGTATTTATAAAATGTTCCATGGATGTAGTCTTAATAATTTAATGTTCATCATTTGATGTTTTAAACTGTCATAAATTGTTCACTGATGTTCCATGAGGAAAAGGATTTCAGATAAAAATCAGACACTTAGTATTCAAATTCTATTGTGCATATTAGAAAATGGGTTCAAGCAGTATCCATCTGTAGCCTACTGCCCAGAGGTTCCTCAGGATAGCTATAAACATGGAGCCATAGAAAATCCTAACCAAAATACTATGATTTTGAGATGTGTATATGTATACATGTGTGTATGTTTGTGTGCATGCTTATATGTGCATGCACATGTGTGGTGTTGAATTGTGCATATGATATGTCCCTTTTCTCACTAAGGTTAGAGGAGAATGTAAGATGTCCTTTTCTATAGCTCTCCACACTATTTCCTTCTTTCATGTAATTTGGAACTAGAAAGGACACAGACAAAGTACAGCCATGCTCTTTTTCTGATCCCCACAGTATGGAGCACATGCATGGCTCTCTCATATTTTTAAGCATGTAATGGACATTGAAAGTCAGAATACATGATTGAAGATAAAGTCCTCTTAACACATTGAACCATATTATCAACTGCTCATTACTACTTTGTTTCATTTTCTATGTACTAGTTTTCAGGATTCTGTTGTGTGAATTCTGTTGACAATCATTTCTGTTAAAATGTCAGAAACTTGGACAAAACTGACAGAAGTTAATGTACTAAATGTATCATGAAGACTCTTGTGCACTATCTAAAAGCACATGGGGAAAAAGGATCAGGTTTTATTATAGTTATGACTAAATATAACATATATTCATAGTGCATTGAAATATTTCTTTCATATTTATTTAAATTGTCATATCCAGAAATTATCAGAACTCTTAGACTTATTGATAATAAATATTTCATTAACTCTTTTAGTAATTCATTAAACAAGTATTGATATTAAAGTACTACTTGTAACTCTGTTGAATGCTGAATGAGAAAATACCAGCAAATGGTGGATCATGATTTATTACAGTAGATATAAAATATGTTAATTTATAAAAAGTTTCAAAAGTGTGAATTTTTTTCAAAATTTTACCATAGAATATGTGATTCACATTGTATGTTCAAATTAAAATACCTTGTTCTTTTTCATTTTATTGAATGAAGACAAATTAATAAGTAGAGGGTAATTCAAAACAGAGTGTATCAATGTATTCAAAATAACAAAAGCATTTAAGAGCAATAAATTCATTAGTATTTCAAAGGAATGAATAAAAACTGTCCTATTTTTTAGTAACAATGTAAGAAATTATTCAATCATTTGTTCCTGAACTCCAAGTATTATTTTCTAAGTAACAGTTTTCTCAGTGCAGCAATCACATCCTTGTTCCTAAGGCTGTATATCAGGGGATTGAACATGGGGGTCACAATGGTGTAGAACAGAGAGAGCAGTTTGTCAGTTCCTGGAGAATGAGTGGACTTCGGCCTCAAGTAAGTAATAGTTGCTGATCCAAAAAACAAAAACACCACAAGCAAATGGGAAGAACATGTAGAGAAGGCTTTTGCCCTTTCTGTGGCTGTTGGCAACTTCAGAATGGTGGTAATGATTTTTGCATAAGACGCAAGTATCAACATAAAAGGGAAAGCAACAAACAGTGAAGCCACTAAGTATACAGATAACTCGTGCACTGAAGTATCCCCACAAGCCAGTTTGAGAATGGGTGGTAAGTCACAGAAGAAATGGTTGATTTTGTTAGAATTGCAGAAATGTAGAGAGAATATCTGACAGGTTTGTCCTATCTGTACTGGGATGCCACCGAGCCAGGATCCTGCTGCTAGCTGAGTGCACTTTGTTGGGTTCATGACTAGATGATAGTTTAGTGGGTTGCAAATAGCCACATAGCGGTCATAGGACATCACAGCCAGGAGAAAGCATTCCGTGGCTCCAAGCATAAGGAAGAAACACATTTGTGTGGCACAGCTCAACATAGAAATGCTTCTGTCTTGAGTACTAATGTTGAACAAAATCCTCGGGAGAGTTACTGATACATAACAGATTTCCAGGGAAGAAAAATTTGCCAGGAAAAAATACATAGGCTTTTGTAATGCAGGATCAATTCTAGTTATCACAATTATGAAGCTATTTCCAATCAAGATCATCAAGTACATTATGGAGAACATTCCAAACAGAAAACCTTGGATGTTGGGAAGGTCAGAGAATCCCAGGAGGAGAAAATGTGTCACAGTAGAAGCATTGTCTTCTGCCCTGACTTCTGTGTGTTGCATCTGTAGGGAGGATTCTAGCAATATCACAAAGTATTTCCTTGCCCTTGGATTCTTTCATATTGAATATTAATATGTTAGAAAATAAGTACTACTTAATAAAATAAAACTACAAAAACTTTGAAAATATAGATTCCTCAGTGATAATTTAATATTACATTGTGATAATGCTGTGAATGAATATATACAATGAATGGGAACTGCCATATAAAATCTAACATTACTAAACTCTGGTTCCAAGAATAAAAACTACAACACAAGAATATTTTTTTAGAAAATAAATTATAAAATATTTTAAATGCTTTTTTTGCCTATTTAATTAAATCTAGGAACTTTTTTAGAGACAATAACTGAAAAAAGGCAAGAAAAACTTTTGTTTAAATTATTTCATCATGGATTCATAAGCTTTATGCATGCTGCATTTGGTTGTATAATTATTTCTACTAAAACCTGTCTTCACAGAAGATTCAAAATGTACAAAAGTAAAAGCCCTGAAGTAATTGATTTCTGAATCAAAGTCTTATCATGTTTTGAAAACACTAAAAAGCATTAGCAAGGGTTTTACTTCTATAGCTGCAGGAAATCGTTTCATCCATTTTTATTCTGTTTTCTGATGTGGTGAGGGAACATCTCAAATTTTTTCTTTATTCATGTTCTTGGAATTTTCCATTTAAAAAATACATCTTATAGATTTTGGAACTACACTAATCTATTCAAATCATACTTACCTAGTTTTTTCTGTGATACTGACCATGCAACCTAGGCTTCACCCATGGTATGCAAACATACTGCTACCATTTATTCCCTGAGCTCCAATGCCTATAAGACTTGGTGTCTACAATCTTGGCAGTGATTGCTATTGTTTCGAGTGTTGAAAACATTTAGAAAACACAATTAATACTCTAAGAAAGAACACCCCTAGCATTTTTGTAAATATAGGCACTTTTGTTTTATTCACTTACTTCATGGATATGTATTTATCATCTTTGAAAGAATGATTGCCTTTTCTACTGTTTCTCTGATGTTAACTAATGCATTTAACATAGAAGAGTATAAAGGGTTTATACTTCCCTGACCAAATTTACCAAAAAAAGAGATAAAGGTTGGAAAGACATATTTGGTAACATGAATTCAGAAAGGTGTTTCTCCTGGCAAAAGTCACAAAAGATACATGCAAATATAATAATTCCATAATATTTCCATATTTACTTACAGGATTTAGTCATTAAATACTAGATAAACATTTGACTACAGTAGGTAGCAGATATTTTAACAATGCTCATTCTTGATCCTGTTAATATGTAGATTCATTTTATGAACTATTATCACCAACAAATTCATATAAACCAAATAAATAGATGACTAACTAAAATCAAAGCTCCATGAAAAAGAAATAATACCAGTAAATGAATAAAATATACTAACATACTTATAGATATTAGCACATAAGATTGTGTCCATATTGATATTTTTGTTCTTTAATATATGGGCTTTTATAGTAAAGCATATTTTACATAGCTATTTTTATCTATATTGTAAAATGTCAAATAAGTTAAAATATTGAGACAAGATTTGAAATAAAAAACATTAGATTCAACATTCTTTTCAAATACTTTGCTCAATTCCCTGTCATTGTGGTCCTTAAAATTGGAGACAAATAGTATGTATATTTGATATGAGTTAAATGTAGTTTGAACTTACGCTTGTAGAGTTAAGTTAAATATAAATCTTACCTTTATGGATTAGTAAAAGTAAATGATAAGTGAATCTGGTTCTTAAGGCTTAAATATTTCCTTCACATTTACTATGCATATCACTTGCAAGCATTTATTGTAATGTGAAGCACACAGTGCTGTTCAAATAGAAAATGATCTCCACCTCTGGGGATAAGTTCCTTTCCCATACTACTTTCTAATTGAAGAAACCTATTTATTCTTCAGCTAAAAGTTACTTATAAGACTATTTAAATGAAATGAGAAAAAATAAAACCCATGAAAACTATTCCTCTTTACAGATTCTTTTTTGTTTTTCATTTTTGTGATTATTAAGAAAAGTTAATATTGGCTGGCAGTGGTGGAATATGCCTTTAATCCTAGCACTTGGAAGGAAGATGCAGGCAAATCTCTGAGTTCATGGACAGTTTGGTTTACTGAGTAAGTTCTATGGCAGCCAGAGCTGACTAACAAATCCAAAAAAAAAAAAGAAAGAAAGAAAGAAAGAGAAAGAAAGAAAGAAAGAAAGAAAGAAAGAAAGAAAGAAAAAGAAATATCAGGGAATAAGAACTCGCCACTGTGTGCATTAACGCATGTTTGTGTTTTACATTTGTGCCTATTTAGCTGCTTCTCTGGGCCACTGTGTCATGAAATCAAGGAAGAGTAAGAAGATATTGATGTTGAAAGAGACACAATGCATACTGATGATCTTATCATTATTCATACTTTCATTGTTATGCATGTAAAATAGCTGGTTTTATAAAAATGGTTTTATATCCATGTTTATTACAGTAATTAAGACACAATATTGAGAGCATTTTTAATAATTTTTTTTTATTAAATTATTAATATTTTCACATGTACTTTCCCTCTCAGCGAATCCCTTCAAGTGGGATGGGCTCTCGAAGTCCCTCCCACCCACCAGGGCAAAACGCCAGTCCACCTCCAGAGGCTCCCAGGAGTGCAGGGGCCTCCCCATTGGCATCCATGATCAGGGGGCTGGATTAGTCCTGTACTGTCCTCCCAAAGAGCATCTGGGGTCGATATTAAGGAGGCATTTGTAAATGAATCTATATGTTATCCAGTGGATCATGAAACAAATCACTCTGACCTTTACTTTCCTCTCTAGAGCATTATAATATCTACCTTCTAATAATAGAGAAGTCATAAGAATACAAAATTCCATTTTAGAAATGCAATGGACTGAGCAGATGCTCTATAATCTTATTTGGAAAGGGACAGGAAAAAGTAAAGACATGCCAAAATAAACAATAATCGGCAGTTTGTTAGGTTAAGAGAAAGGAAAAATAAGTAGTACCAACCAATTGGCTGTAGACATAAAAAAACTCCTAATAGTTATGAAAATTTACAATACCCAATATTAGTAGAGGGTTATTAAATAAATTTGTCAATTATGGTTGTTAAACCATATAACAATCATTAGATCTGTAGACATGAACATCACAAGCATGGATTAAGTATCTTCCTGTATTATAGGTTTAAAGTAGGGACCTCAAATATCTAAGGACATTTAAATAAAGTTACATGAAAAATCACTAAAAATGTTTATACCAAAATCATTCTATAAAGTCAAAAGGCAACATTGGCCTAATAACATTAGATATTACAAGCATAAAATGTGAAGCTCCCCCCCCCCAAAAATATGATCCCATTTAGACAAATTAAAAACAAATAAACAAAAAATGCTTTTATATGAAGTTCAGTTTTCTTCACTAACTTAATATATTTTATATCTCAACAGGAAATTTTTAAGTAAACAATTTGTCAATATTCATTGTAAAACTACTAGCCAAGGGCATTGGTGGTGCATGACTTTAATCCTGCACTCAAGAGGCAGAGGTAGGCAGATCTCTATGAGTTCGAGACCAGCCTGGTCTACACAGTAAGTTCCAGGTTAGGTTCCAAGGCCATACAGAGAAACCCAGTCTTGAGAAACCAAAAAAAAATTAATATTGATTTTCTTTGATTTTATCTCATAGAATTTTTATTAGAAAACATTTATTTTATATAATAGCATCATTTACCATACAGAAATTTTCACATATAAGCCAACATTTGCTGTATGTTTTTTGCATTACACTAATACATACAGTCACCATAATGAAACCCCAATGATAATTTTAAGCCATTATGCATGCAACTAATTAGAATAAACTTCATAATATGTGTGAGTTTCTTGCTAAGAATCCTAACACTACAAAAACAGCTAACAAGGAAACTTTGGACTTGTATTGAAAATGAGCTCTTTGGAGAGACATTATTAAGCCAAATTAGGTAGATGAGTACATGCATGATTTTGTGCATATCTCTCATCCAATGCCCACTGTCTTCCTATATGCATTTGCTTTTTGTAGATGTGATAAAGACCACGATGCAAAGCAACCTGTTGGAGAAAAAGGTTATATTTTGCTGATACTTCATCTAATAGTTCATCAAGGAAGAAAGTTAGAGTAGGGACTTAAGCAGGACTTCGAATGAGGAAGTCCTGTTAACTGATTTACTTCTGATTTGTTCATCTATTTATGTAAAGCCCATGTTCATCTGGCTAAATAGCACTAATAACAGCAGAGTGGATTATCCTAAATTAATAAGAAATCAAGAAAATGCCCCAAAGACAAATCCAGGGCCCCCCATGTTGGAGGCAATGCAATAATCAGGTCCCAATATGTGAAATGACTGAAACTAGTCTGTGGCAAGTTGACAAAAGGGGAATATACCTATATTATGTTTTTAAACCCACCTTGATTTCACACTATTTTGTAAAAAAAAAATTATGTAATTTGTGATAATGTAACAGCATCTCTGCTCAAAGATTGAAGTCATTCCCAGTGTGTATTCTGCCTGATGCTTGTGGTTTGATATTAGAATCATTAAATCTTCCTGTAGCCATTGCTTTTACATCATGGACACTAAACCACTGGACTAGTAAGCCTGATAAATAGCTTTCTTTTATAAACACTGTACGTTTTGAAAGTTAATACTGGTTATTTGGTAGTAATACAGAACTATCCTTCAATACTAACAAATAAACTTTTATTTGGAAATAATTACCATTGTAAAAACAAGACAAAAGTTACAAACTTATATGAGAATACATCTGGAAATTTTACACACACACATACAAACAACAAATATAAAACCATATCTTCAAATGTGCCATGATAAACTTTAGTTCTTTACATTATAACTTCCTTGCTGTCATTATTATATCATTTTTCTCTTGAGGATAAATATCAAAGTTACATTATAAATACCACATCAACAAGATTCAATGAA